TTACCTGACTTGCTTGTAAACCTGCCAAGTACTCCTACTGCATATGCAATATCAGGCCTAGTGCAATCAGTCACATATCTCAAACTTTCGATTATGCTAGCATAGTCCTTTTGATTTATTGCATCATTTTCACTTTCAACAGGAAATAAGTGAACTCTTGAATCAAAAGGAGTAGCAACATGCTTGTAATCAAGAAAGTTATACTTTTTCAAAATTTTCTCAACATAATGTGACTGGTCAAGGAAAATTCCATCACATGTTCTTGTTATTTTTATTCCAAGAATAAAATTTGCCTCACCAAGATCTTTCATATCAAAATGGCTTCTAAGAATATTTTTAGCTTCATCAATAACATTCATGTTAGAGCCAAAGATCAATAAATCATCAACATATAGGCAAATAACCACATGTGAATTATTCCAAGACTTATGATATATGCACTTATCACACTCATTTGTTTTAAAACCATTTTCAATCATGCAGGAATAAAACTTTTCATGTCATTGCTTTGGTGCCTATTTCAAGCCATATAGGGATTTAGTAAGTTTACACACTTTGCTTTCTTCGCCTACTTCAACAAAAGATTTGGGTTGTTCCATATAAATTTCCTCATTTAGGTCTCCATATAAAAAAGCAGTTTTTACATCAATTTGATGACGGTGGTAAATCAACTAGTTTCCAAGTTTTATTAGAAATTAGTGATTCCATTTCATCATTTACAGCCTCTTTCCAAAATATAGAATCATGTGAAGATAATGCTTCTTTCAAAGTAAGAGGGTCATCTCCAACATTAAACACATAAAAATCAGGACCAAAATCTTTTTCTACTCTAGTTCTTTTACTTCTTCTTAACTCAAAATCATCAACTTCTTTATTTTTCAAAGTAGAAGTAGAAGAACTAGGTAGTGACAAAATATTTTGTTCAATCCTTTGACCCCCACTATTTTTAGAATCAAAAGGAAATTTATTCTCATGAAAAATAGCATCACCCGATTCTATCACAATTTTATCTTCAAGATTAAAAAATCTATAGGCTGTACTATTTGAAGCATAACCAAGAAAAGCACAAGTAGTAACTTTCTTACCCAACTTTGTAATTTTGGGATCCATTAGCCTCACAAAGGCTAGACAACCCCAAACTCTTAGATATCCCAAACTTGGCTTGCGACCTTTCCACAATTCAAAAGGTGTCAATTTAGACTTTTTATGAGGCACACGATTCAACACATAACAAGCAGTTAAAATAGCTTCACCCCAAAATTTAAAGGTGCTTGTGACTCAATAAGCATGGCATTAGTCAATTCAACCAAAGTTCTATTTTTCCTTTCCGCTACTCCTTTAGATGAATGAGAGTAAGGAGGAGTAGTTTCATGAATTATTCCCAATGATCTAACAAAAGAATTAAACTCATTTGACTCATATTCACGGCCTCTATCACTTCTAATTCTTTTTATTTTTCTTCCAAACTGATTTTCAACCTCATGGAGATAAGTTTTGAAATTTTCAAAAGCATCACTTTTATTTTTCATCAAGTAAACATATGTAAACTTAGAAAAATCATCAATGAAAGTGATAAAATATCTATTACCTCCACGAGTTAAAATTCCACCAAGTTCACAAATATCAGTATGAACTAATTCTAACAAATCAGTTTTTCTTTGAACTTGTAAATGAGGCCTTTTAGTGATTTTGGCTTTACTACAAGCCTCACATTTTTCAAAATTCTTTTTAATCATTGTGATTAATCATAAATTACTCATGATTCCAACATAACGGTCATTAATATGACACAAACGAGCATGCCAAAAATTGGTAGAAGAAAGCATGTAAACAGAAGTAGAAGCTTTATTCATTTCAACATTTAGTTTGAACATCCCATCACATGCATACCCATTTTCCACAAAAATACCCTTCTTTACTATTACATATGATCAGATTCAATAATCTGTTTAAAGCCTACTTTATTAAGAAGAAAACTAGACATCAAATTTTTCCTCATAGAAGGAGTATAAAGTACATCTTTCAAAGTTAATACCATTTCAGAAGTAAAACACAATTTGACATCTCCCGTTCCAAGCACTTGAGTTGTGTGAGAATCACCAAGCATGATGGTTTTGGGCTCCTCAAAATGAGCATATTTTTTAAACCAGTCTTTGTCATAACAGACATGACGGTTTGCACCAGAATCAACCCACCATCCATCAACACTCTCAACCATGTTTATGTCGGTAATCACCGCCACAAAAGGTTCTTCGGTAACGTTTGCCTGAGGACCACGTTTCCGAAATCTGCGAAATCGAGCAATATGCCCACTCTTGCCACAAACAAAGCACGATCCCTTATCTTGAACTTGTTGATTTTGTGCTTGGTTATTTTCACCATTATTTTTCTTGGGAGGTCTACCATTATTTTTCTTGAATTTTTTCTTCTTAGGCTTCAAAAAAGTATTTTTGTGAGTTTCAAGAGTAGCATTAGTTGAAGTAATTAAATTTACCTTCGTTGTGATGTTGCTCTCTTCTGTTTGTTAAAGTGCATCTTGGCCCCTTGCCTCTTCACCATCATACTTTTCCACTTTCTCATGATGAGAAATAAGTTCATCATCATCCATGGAGGTGTCATCAACTTTATTAGGATTCTTCTCACTTAACACATAAGTAACATTGAGAAGACTTAAGTAGAAAAGTACTTTACCCTTCCATCTTTTGAAATGGTTACCATTGAACCGAAATAGCTTGTTAAGGTCTCCCATTTTGACATTCACGGATTTTTCAATTGTAGTCATTCTGAATCTCCTTAAAATTGTTTAGGAGATTTAGAATGGTGGGCTTAGTGGGCTTGAATCTCCTTAAAGTTGTTAGTGAAAAACTTACAATATAATAAAATTACAAGATTACAATTGAAAATAAAAATGAAGAAATAAATCTCTTCAGGCTGAGACGCGGATATCTCGCTCTCTTTAAGGAGATTCAAGTCCACTGCAACAAATGTTTTTCACCAGTCCAGCAGTAGTCCTCTTGACTTGTCCCCTCCAGGATACAACAGCGTAATCACAAAAATATAACTCAACAACTCTGGACAAGAGTTGAGTCCAAAGCTCCACAAAAGAACACCTCCCTTCAACTAATAAGAACTCTCTTTTTTTACTAACTTTTTCACTCTATATTTCCTTGTGTGTTGTATCAAATCAAATGAAAACCACCACTATTTATACTAGAAGAAGTCTTCCTAGCAATGAATAGGAAGATAAATTGTATAGTAAATAGTGAAGATAATGGTCTTAGGAGTTACATAGATTATAAGGTATAATGGAGGAAGAATAATGGAGAAGTAATGTCAAAGGCCACCAACGGCTAAGAGTAAAGCAGCACTAAGTGCCACCAACGGCCAGCAGCCATTACTCCCCACGTTCTGCAAATGAAAGTCAACAAACGTATGTCCTAAGAAGTAATGACAACGGTCAATGTGGCAATGCAACATTTTTTATAATATTAAAATGCCCCACACTAACAGAGAGTAAGTGAAGTGGAATCACTATACATAAATAAATGCATGCCAATAGAGAGTATCCCCATCACTATTTCCCTTAGTCATTCACAAACTTGTCTCTCTCATTTTTTTTCTTTTGGTTCATCACAACAGAGCCTTCCATGCTTTTATAGAGCATACCTTCTCAGTTTAGAGACGGGATAAACCACTAGAGTAGCGGCATATCTTGTGACTTTTCATGCTAGCTGTGACCTTTAGATATCTCCTTACATTATCTATGGGATTGCTTTTTCTAGGGTCAGAAAATGAGGTAACTTTTTTATCTTTTTACAATTTTATTTTACTAAAGCAACTCCTCTGGAAAAATATTTTCGTTAGATTCCCTTAAGAAAAAGTTACTGAAAGGAGATGCTGCATGATTTTTATGCCTTTGAAGTGTCTCATTTGATTCAAGGACATTTAAACAGCATATCCTTCATCATATTCCTTATTTTCTTGTTCCTTTTACTTCTTTTTTTGTCAAATTTTCATTTCTATGTTACGTTTATTGAATTTTTTGCTTTTCATGTGGCCTTTTGTTTTTTCGAATTCCAGTAAATCAAGGGTTCTACTGCTTCCTTTGTCTGAGTTTAACATAATTAAAGTTCGAAGAGACCAAGATTGTTATATTCTCTCATATTACTTAAGTGTGTTGTCATTTATCAAATGAAGTTCAGTTCTGGATGTTATAAAAGAAAACATGGACTAACAGTTGATAAAAATTGTTTTCGACAGACAAACAATTACTAATTAATTATTTTATTTTCTTCCACCAGTGCCAGATTTCTCTCGCACCAAAAGTTCTAATACCTGATGTACCTACATCACAATTAAAAGACATTATCCTATTATTTACTAAGTACTACGATATACTCTTATGTCTTTTAAGAAAAAAAACTAGAACAACTTTTCTTAGCAGATTAAAGAAAAAAGCTTGACACATAAATTGAAATAGAGGGAGTAATATAAAAAAGTTGATAAGTTTTTAGAACTAGAAACTCGGCACGTGCGTTTCACAAGTATGTTGAGTCATGTAGTACACGGTTTCTTATTGATTAATAATTATTTGAAAAAACAAAGCACAAGTTCTGTTAATGATTCATGTGAGTTGTCGTATGATTACTTGTTTGTTTGTGACACTCATAGGCATAATCTCCACCATTAAGCAATGCACGTGCCACATGGCAATACGGGGAATCTGATGAAAATATTTGTTCAAATGAGCTTTCACGAAATGTTATTGTAAATGATAAGAAAAGTTATGCTCATTTTATGACCCTAGAATAATCCATAGGCCACACGGCATAAAAATAGCAGGATATGCCAATTCTCAATTGTCCTATTCCATCTCGTAAACTAAGAAGGAATGCTCTATAAAAGGTTGAAAGGTAACCAAGAAGCAGAAAAATGAGAAAGAATAGTCGGTGAGTGATAATAATAATAATAATCTTGAATTTATAAGCAAATCAGTGATAGGGCTACTCTCTATTGGCATACGGTTATATGTTCATCACATATTTCAGCTGATACGCCAAAGGAGAGCTGCCCTGTTACTGTCTCTGCTTAGTGTAATTCTGATGCAAAAGTTGTTAAACCACTGCTTATGTACCGTATCCGCCAGTGGTAAGTCCTACATCTGAATTATTCTTCTCTAAAAACTGAAACTATATTTTTCGTAAGGCATAAGTACCCCCAAGACTATGACCGAAATCCCATAGACACGCCTTAACTAAACTAAGGTCATGTTACCGCCTGAACTTATTTTTTTTGTAATTTTGTACACCTTTTGTCTTACGTGACACACTCCGTGACTCCATGCAATTGAGGCGCGTGGAAGTTATTTAAATGCCACGTAAGCCAAAAAGGTGCACAAAATTACAAAAAAATGGGTTCATGAGGGTAATAGGACCTTAGTTTAGTTAAGATAGTCTCTGAGATTTCGGTCATAGTCTAGGGGATACTTCTACCTTTTCCCTATTTTTTATAGTTCTACATTTGTATTATTCTGCACAAATATTCATTTCCTCCATGACAGTACGCCCAATTTCCTTTTTAGTCAGTCTCAAAATATCTATATTTAGTAGAATTCAACTTTAAAATGCTTATTTTATCCTTAATAAAATGATTATATTCACACAAACATTTATGATTTATCTTATAGGATAAGTTTCAAAAGTCTTTCTTTTTAAACTCCATGTCAAGTCACACTACATCACATAAATTTGGACGAGGGAGTATTACTATATCTCAAGTAAAGGTTCCTGGATAATGTAATACTAATCCTTGAAAAAATAGTATGAGGGGCTTAGTGTAACCTCTTAATTTCAACACAGATTCACAGAACATTGCCATTCATGACAAAAAATTGAATCTATCATATATGTAATTCCAATGCTTGGAAATGGCCACATATCCAACAGGAAAGGTCATTTTGCATTTCGTTGAAGCTGATGAAATGCATAGGCGAATGGCCCTTCATGCATCCGGTTTTAATGAATGAAATATATGGATATTACTCTTCATTTCTCCTAAAATCCTAACTCAAACACTAAGACAACCTCTACTCTTGTTGTAACACCTCGGGTCCAAGGAGATGAGAAATTTTAGTTTGTTCACAGGCATGCATGGTGTCAGCACAGATGACACCACCCACAATCCGTAGGTGGGACGATGGTCCGTAAGTGGGGTCCTTCCATTGGGGTCCAAGATTCAGGGGTCTCTGATCCCACCCACAGCCGATCAGTACGGTCCGTGGTTGGACCTACCGATCGTAGGTCTGGCCGTTGGTGAGGGTCGACAATTATTTGGAAAGAAAGGGCTTTTAGATCAACTTCAAATGGTCATATCTTTTAGTTAAAAATGAATTAGGTAGCCCTTAACCTATCAAATTAAAGATAATTGAATCCTATTTTCAATGCCACTGAGTTTGCTAAAATCCAAGCTTGAAGTAAAAAGTTACGCTTGTTTCAGTAGAGCCCTATTGGCAGGGCCACAACTATGACCCAGTTGACGGGCAGTGGTTCTAATGACGGCCCATAAGTCCCACCGTGAAGGGCCTTTGTCAACTTTTAAGTCAGGGTCATTTTGGTCTTTTCCCCTATGCACTGGGCACTTCAACTATGTCGTTTGATGCCTAAACTACGTTGTTTTACTCAGTTTAAGCCTAATAATCTAGTGAGACAATACCCACAACCCTCATTCTCCAAAAATCACCCAACTTAGAGCAAAAAGAAGAGGAAAAGTTGCCAGTTTCTCCCAGGAACAAGCAGAAGTGTTCTTCGAAGTTTATCCCCGAAATCCAAAGGATTTCTCTGTAGATTTCGTCACCAGGTATGTGGGATTTCACTAGTGGGTTCCTTTCACCCATTAGGTCCCTAGAATTCAGTTAGTTCTTCATATTCTCATAAACTTTTCAGACCTAGGGTTTCTAGATTTTCAAGATTTATTGTGATTATGGTTCCTTTGATCTAAATAACTTATTTCTTGATAATTTTAGTATAATACATGCATAGCACTCAGAACCCTAGCTTGTGTAAATTTATCCTAGTTCGTGAATTATACTTGCTAGGCCAACCAGACAGAAATTCATGCTTCAGATTTTGAATGTTATATTCTCAGTATATAAATGTTGTATTCTCAGTTAGCATGTGAGTTTTGAGCTATTCAGTATCTAGTGCATTTTAGTTTCATGAGTATTCAGTTGGGAGTAGACTTAGCACCGACTTAGACTAAGGTTCAGTGTACCCTCAAAAGTCCTAGAACTACGTGCTTGCGTAGGTTTGTAAGTTCCCCAGTTGGGAATCAGTTTTAGTGATCACGCCACAGTCATGCCTCTATACTCCTGGCAAGGCATATTGGGTCCTCTCGATGGGCGTATACATTGGACTCCACGTGTAACATCCGACAATTTGAAATAGCTTTGAAGGGGCCTAGAATTGGAAATTTTCATTTTTTGAAAGAATTTGAAAATCTGGAATTTTTTTTTGGCTAAGTATGGAAAATGTGAATTTTTGGCCAACTTTGAACAGCCATAA